ATAAGCCTAAATGGAACTTCTTTTTGCATTAAGAGGTCTCATTATAAAAGGTTTCATTGCATATCTCAAACATTTAAATAGCTTTGTCTAGGGGCCTACCAAATTTTCACAAAAAAGACCAGGGTTCTTTGATACCAGGTCAGGTTTGACAGTTTTGTGTTTCTTAAAATATTCAAAGCATAAAAGTAACTGGTATGCATGTCAGTCCACTTCATTCTTCTCAGCCCCTACATTGCATACAGGTAATTCTATTAACATTAATGAAGTCCCCAAGAAGGACAGGGCTCTGTACAATATGAAGCTCTGTTAACTTAACTCATAGGTTTTATGGCAAGATATACTACTGGCTAATGGGATGAATTCTAGATGAGGAGTTAGAGGAGAGTGAGCATCAACTATAAAAGGCTGTTTATAGCAAATGTGACCTGAGTTGAGAAGCTCTGCTGATGCACACCTGATAACCAAATGTAGTAAAATACCCAAGCAGGTAGTTTGCCTTTGGCAGAAAACTCAAATAGGTGAAGTCTGGCCCAGCCTCCTCTGCTCTTCCTACCTCTTCGCTCTCCTCTGTAAGGTCAGTCAATTCCAGATGGGAGCCCACATCGAAGAGCCCATCAGCCCCATGGCCCTGGCAGCCTTCCTCCTTGAAAAGGGAATCTAGATTCCATCATTACCCTCTATCTTCCTCCTTATCAGTTGTGAAGGAAGGGAGAGAATCTCAAAGGAAGAGTTGAGAGGAGAAGGGAGATCATTTCGGGTTGGCTACACACTGTAATTAGAAGTAGCATTGATGGGGAATGAGCTAACTGTTTTTATAATGTCAGCATTCAAAAATGCAAACCACCAGCAATTTAAATATCACAAAATTGTACAGAATATAAGTATTGAAATAATTTTTTCCACCCACAAAATTCTAGAGAAAATTATAGTATCAAAAATATAAAATGGCGGCTTTGGCATATCCTCAGAATAAAACGTGTTTTTTTTGTTTTGTTTTTTTATTGGAAAGGATTTTTAAAAACTAGTGGCTAGGCTTTAGACAGGATGTGATGCTCAAGACCATGTGGTATCTCCTTAAAACTGCTGGAACTAAAAAGGAAAAGTCACCAAAGTACTAATGTACCAGAATAGTAGAAAAAAGTGCTGGTGAGGCTCAATGAATCGGGAACTTGAGCCACGTATCATAAATCATTTCACAATGGTTGTTTGTCCCTATCTCAGACTCTCAAATAAAAGCACACCGAGGTTTGAGGTTCAAACTATATGTAAGAGCTGCTGCATTTGACTATTCCTAGCAAAGCAAAGGTGCCTGAGGAAAGGATGTCACCTTCTAACAAGTGTAAGCACCAAGTTGGCTCACTTAACACTTTTCAGAGCTATTTCTCTGCCCTTTCCAGAAGGGGAACCAGTTTATTGCCACCAGTACCTCTCTTTCTCCATAGAGGACATTAAAGCCTGACCACACAGATGGCAAAGCGGTGCGCAGGGGTTACTAGGTTACAGTTATGTTGACATATCCTGGCTCTCAGAAATTCCCTCCTTCATTCCTCACAAACGGCAAACAGAAGTGATCAAACTTCTACAGAAATTTTTGTAGAAGTCCTCTAGAAGGCTGCGGATCCCTCAGAAACCACTTCCTGAGCCTAAGGTTTACAGCACTTGAAGACACCCCCCCCCCTCTTTCTACTGATCTAAAGCCAAGCTTTGCCTTTTACAAAGAATAATCAGACTGGAAGCTCAGAGCATTCCCAAGGCAAATGAGGTGTCCAGCACTTGGTGAACTGTGAAGCACTATAAAAAGTATTATTAAAATATGTTTATTGACTGCCTTCTATATGTGGGTGTGTTACCTGCAGTATATCATTTAATCTTCACAACCCCCTGCAAGGGAGTTATTTTCCCTCCTTTACAGATGAGGAAAGTGAGGCTCAGAAAGCTGAAGGCATGGCCCAAAGTCACACTGAGTGACAACACCAAGTCCTATCTTTTTCAACTGATCCAAGCTGATAAGTAAACAAAGCAACGCTGAGTTTTCCTGCAGCAGCAAAATCCTGTCTTTTCCAACATCATATTGTAGTTTGCAACTTTGGGTGGAGAACCCAGAGGCCGGTCTTCCTACCTGGGTAAACCAGAAATGAACTCTTCCCGTCTTTTTCACGGATGCCCAATTCTCAACACCCAAACAACCTGCAGAGTAATGTAACTGGGCCAGACAACGCCCTCTTGCCTGCTCTTCAACTTGGAGAGTTCTGCTCCAAGGAAGGGTGTGTATGGAAGCTAAGCAAAGTACCAGCTTCCATCCCGGTTCAGGGCCTCACCTCGGGAAGACCTGGCCTTGGCCTGGTCCTGGGGAGCAGGGGACCCTGTTCCAAGTGTGGGGCTACCAGCGAAACGGAGCTCTGCATTGCACCCTCAGGACAAGCACCCTAAGCTCTGTAGTGGAGAAGTTCCCTATCACCCCTTCTTTTCTTCCTCCCTCCAAGCCGGGGTGGCACCCGAATCAGCGGGAAGTTCAAAGCGGCCCCGGGGGGTAGGGAGGGGCGTCCCGGCTCGGGTACTGCGGCGGGTCGTCTCAGGGCTCGGACCAGACTCTTGCAGAGCGAGGAAGTCAACTCCACTCCTCGCGAGGAAGAAACTACAGTGTCGGGCTAGCGAACGCATCCGCGACCGGGCAGAGGGGCTGGGCACCCGCTCCTGAGCGGGGAGGCGCTGGGGTCCACCGGTGTAGGTGGCAGGGGCGCAGGGGCATAGTCATGAGGCATGCAGAGGGGATCCTGGCCCGGGAGGGGGGTGTCGCTGAGGGGCTTGGGGAGGGGGTGCAGCGTCTTGAGGAGGGGTAGGGGAGCGTCCCGGCCGGAGGTGCATCGCTGAGAGACCGAGGGACCGGATCCCAGGAGGTACCGGGGCCGAGGGGGCGTCCCGGCCCTGGGGAGGCGCTGAAGAGCTTGGCGAAGGAGTCCCGGCCTAGGGGGCGTCGCTGAGGACTCCCAGGTCCTCCCAGGGCATCCACCGGGCTCTGGGGCGTCGCTGAGGAGCCTGGGGCGAGTCCCGGGTCCTGAGGTGGGATACCGCCCCCGCCTGAGGGGAGTCGCTGAGGGGCTGGGGAAAGCGTGCTGAGGCAGGGGGCCGGCCCGAGCGGGCGTCGCCGAGGGGCTTGGAGAAGGAGTCCCGGAGGGTAGTGGCGAAGGGATCGGGCCCCCAAGTCGGGCCCCTCGGGCTGATTCCGCGTAGGGCCGGCGTCGGGGGTCGCTCACTCACCGGGTCCGGGGCCGAGACCAGGGCTGGGCGCGGGCCGGGCCGCCAGCGTGAGCGCGGCGACGGAGAGCAGGGCGAGGCGGGCGGCGGGCGGCGCCATGGGCCGTCAGTGCGGGGCCCCGGGGCGCGGCCCGGGGGAGAGGGGGCAGCGCGGGGAGCCGGGGGCGGCCATGGGAGCGGGAC